AAAGTTGATACAAATGTTTTAGTAATGATTTCTCCTTCTTCAACTATTAAATTCACTTCAAAATTGGTATATAGCTTAAACTTTAAGTCTTCTAATACCAAGCCAAATTTCACCTTGATCCAACTAGTAGATCTTTAGATATCATAGAAACCCTACACAACCTCAAACTGCCAACTTCTGATATCTTCTTATACCCAAATCCAGATATCTTTCAATTGCATTATTGGATTATCACAAAATTTTTACACATAATTACTACACCTAATTAATCAAGCATTGTCAAATTTTGAACTATAGATGTGACACCAATTTCACAAACCAGCTAAGAGAGCTAGTCCTAAATATATTGTATAAATCCCAAATTGCCAATACAAACCTTGATTTTCAACAACAATTCCTAAGTCCAAACAAATCCTACAAAAAAAATTTTATGTGTTTGGAACAAGATTCAAGCTAGTTCTTGAATCTTAATCACTAATCTTCAAATGAAACCCTATTTTGTCCTAGGTCATTGTTTTATTAGTTAGAAGTTTGATTTTGACCCTGTCTCCTAAACGGTTGATCCTTGGATATCAATCTAACCTATCCTAGGGATTTTTTGGCCCAACCTTACCTTCAACTTAATCCTAGTATCAAGCATGCTAATTATTTACCTCTTTTAATCTGATTTTACTAATTTATGGTCTTTCTAAGGCAATAAAAGAGTTTCTATAGCCTAAAAGGTATAATTATTAACCAACATTTAATCTACTAACTATTAAGATAAGAAAATAAACTAAGATGCTTTTATAAAAGCCACATTTAAATATCTTGAATTATTATTAAATCAAGATAATTAAATATTAATTAAAATTTTATTTTTGATAATATTTTCACCATATAGTTATATTACATCATGATATTAGACTTCTATATTTTGCAGCTCAAGAAAATTCATACTAAACTAAGACACTTCTTTAATCAACATCAACCACCACAACCACCATTGGTTGTGTTTGATGATCAACAAGAATATAAAGTGAACAAAATTTTGGAGCATTTCTATCTTTGCCATGGTAATGGAAGGTTGCAACTTCAGTAAAAAGTTCTCTAGAAAGGTTATCCTATCCATGATACATTGTAGGAAACTACACAAAACCTCATCCATTGTCAAGAAATAATTTGTAGATATCATTGACAACAAATCCAGGACATTCTACATTAATAAAAGAGGATTAACTATAACGAAGCATGGATAAGATATTTATATTATTGATTCATAGAAATAGATAATTGAAGCCGTTTCTGAAAGGTTTCTAAAATTGGGGCTAGATTAGTGATCAATGTGGAATCAACCATAGAACATTCTAGAAAAAATTTAGGATAGTTATTTAGGTGGGATCCACCTCTAAAATCATCTAGAAGGAGCAATTATCTTGGTGGGATCCACGATTAGAGACATTCTGAAATTGATTGAACAAAGCATAAATAGGACTGGTTTAAGCCATTTGGATATTCAGTCAAGTATAAATTTGGTTCCTTTCTCTTAGTTAAGTTTTGGTTTGTATTTTTTTTGTTCTATTCTATTTTATTCTCATTTGCTCTATTCTGCCTTTCATTGTTCTATTCTAATCACTTCTATTTAGTTTTATTTTAGTCTAGTCTATCCTATATTATGAAAGAATTTATATTATTGTAGATTGGAAGGATTTTAGATTGTAGAGAGAATTTAGTCCAATTTTAGGAAATATCTATTTGTTCTCTTTTTCAAAATTATATAAAATTTATAATTATTGAATTGAAATAAAATAAAATTATCTATGTTAAAATCTAAATGCCAATTGTGACTACATAGAAGTATAAAAATTTGTTCAAAAATACCTCGCAAGTGAATCATTTCTAAGGTCTAAGATAAGCTAGTAAAAGCCTAATTTAGAAGTATTTTTAAATTTTTAAAAATATATATATAAATAAAAGACCTAAAAAAATAATTTTATTATATAAAATTCTAAAAAGTCAATTTGGACCTTATCAAAATATATTTATAGGACATAAGACCGATTTTTGTTTTAAAGGCCAAACTATTAAAAGTCTTAAATTATGACATCTACATTTTCATAAAAGAAGTCCATATAAGAAATTTGAAAATTTTCAGCTATTTATTTTACAAAAAGTAAAATTTAATCCATCTGCAAAAATAAGTAAAATAAGATTCTAAACTATAATAATATAAATAATATAAATATAAAAATTTAGAATTTTTTTTAATTTTCTATTAAAATAATTATATATATATATATATGTATTAATCAATTCAAATAAAATAAATATTATTAAATTTAGATTTTATTGTAACTCATAACAAAATAAAACATAAATATTTAATTTAAACCTTTATTATAATGTATTTTCTAGATAAAATTAATCATTTTGTTGGGGTTTGATTTTACAATAACATAATTTGTATAAAAACTACTTTTTTTTATCTACAAATTTTAATATTATATTAGACACAAGAAATAATTATCCACAAGCATCAATTCTACTTTTTGTTTATTGCCATATTACTTAATTCTATGATTCTATGAAAAGAAGAACTTAAGAATGTAAAAGATAATTTACTACTAATTTGAAATAATATATTTTATTATATAATATGGTGACAATGTCTCATTTTTAATACTTGATTAAAATAATTGATATAAATTAATATTTTTTAAAAAATCAACTAATTAAGAATATTGAATTAATTGGCTTAACTTAAGTAAGTTGACTCAAATAAGAATAGAATCAAGTTTAGGTTATAATTTTATAAAATTATAACCTATAAACCCTAAATCCTAAACCCTAGTTTTATAAAAATATGAAATTTTTATTTTTATTCATTTATTTATTATAAATTCAGATTTAGTTAAGATTCTAAGTATTTAAAAATTAAAGTTGAAGCTCTAAAAACGCATAAAAAGAGGTGAATAAAAATAAGTTAATAAAGAAATAATTATTAACTTTATAATAATTAATATACTTGATATATTAAAATTTATAATTAAAATTTAGTTGTTAGTAATACAAAAAAAATATTTAAATAATTAGTTTTTGAAAGATTTGAGTTTATAAGTTTTATTCAACTTCCACCAATATAAAGGAAAAAATTGGTCTAATATTTTAAATAAAAAAAATACTATTGTAATATTTTTATAAGACTAGTTTTTCTTTTGTTTAGAAGTAAATATAGCATTTTATTAATGGTTGAAAAAAATGACTTTATGTGTTACTTGTATTCTAATGCTTTTGTATTGACATCCTTAAAATAATATACATGAATGCAAATAAGTTGAATCATTATAATACATCTCTTATAAGGTTTTATATATATCATTATAATACATCTATTATGGGTTTATAGGTTAGAATCTTATTCTAAAACACAAATCGGTCTTTAAGATTCTAACCTATAAACCTATAAACCCAAATATTACAAGGCACAAAATACAAGAATAAAGAATAAGATTTAAAAATTCGTTTAGAAATACATATTAATACTTTGAATTTATTTATTTTATAGAAAGATGTGGTATTTTTGGATAGTGGATGTTGCAAAAATTTAAAATCATGAATAGACTTTGTTTTGTTTTAAAGATACAATTACATAGAATTAATCGATCAAAAGAAATTAAAAAATTAACTAATGGTGGAAAATAATTACTTATTAAGTTGCTATATAAGATTTCATCCAAGATATTTAATTGTAAAAAGCACAATCTAAAACTAGTGTTAAAGAAAAAATATTTTAAAACATAAAAATATTAAATAATAAAATTATAAAATTATAAAATAACATAATTTACAACATACCAAAACTTTTAAGATACATATTGCAAAAGAAGTATTTTTAATAAATAAATTAGCAATTAATACCAATAGAAGCTACTATGTTCTAAATTTCCTTAAAAGAATATTCTTTTAGTCTAGCAATTAAAAAAGATGAGTTTTTTATATAGAAGTTTATCCAACTTTATAACATGGATAAACTCAAATTTTTTTAGGTCAAATAAAAAATATATAGCATGCTTGTACTATTGCAAATGAATAAAGATTGAGATTCAAGGATATGTAGATGGATGGTGGTGGAAGAGACTAAACATTTTCTAAAAAAATAATAACAAAATTTAATTGAATAACTTCAAGGATATTTGAATTTGGATCCTTCAAACTATTGAAGATGGCCTCTACTACATTAAACCTTAGTTACACTTTTAAAATATACTTGTGTAACTAACTTAATTTATAACCTGAATGGATAGAATTTTTGTAAATTATGCAAATTTTTGTAAATATTAGTTAAGGGATATCAAAGAGGGTAAAGTGGATTGAACCCAGTAAATGATATTCCACTAGGTCAAGTTCATTCATAGGGCTCACTTTGGGGTAGTCCCACGGAACCGGTCCTAGACACCCGCTCAAACCTTTCATGCTATTATTTGTTTAGCTATTATATGTAAGTACTAGAGCTAAGTCCTGAATTAGTTTCAGCCTCTGATGGGAATTGGTTAGAGGTTTATACCGCACACCCTCTCTTGCAAAAGCGGTAATGGTAGTTGAAATGGAAGAATCACCTCATTTACGAAGTTGGGTACCGAGTTAGGCTCCAGACTCCAAGTTTCCTGCAAACCCACATGCCTCACGGATTTCCAAAAATGCCCTTTTGAGGAGGATGTAACATGAAGATGAGGTGAATGCACAACCACACCAGCTCTGGCATCTGCACCAGTCCCCAGACAGTTCCAATCCAGTAGAACCGGAAATTTTTAAAGAGTAAATGGACTTATAACCTGCCTTGCAGTCACAAAAATAATGTTTTAAAATTCTCGCAGGGATGGAGGATGGTACATTCTCGCCAGAATGTCGGACTCGTCGAATTGATTGTCGATGTGGGAGCCGTGAGATCTTTACTTGAATGACATGCGATATTCCACACCCAAGCAAGCCCTGACTGCCAGTACCTTGAGATGAATGTGAGGTGAAGAGTGTCATACATTATCGTATCTGATCACCAGCACACAGCCACCGGATCGAGACTGATACAGAGCTGGCGTCCAGATTGCCTCTGTATCTGATTCTGGTTTTGATCGTCCAGTTTTTTTACCACACTGGGTGACATGATGGTTGCAGTGGTGGGGAAGCTCACGCAGCTGTATGTTTTGTATATGATCATGCTCACTCATCATGACCTTGTAGCTCCTCTACCATCTCTGTTTTGCCTGGCCTTGGTCACTTGTGGTCACTCTCTACTGCATTCTTTGTGTTTTTTTTCCTTAAGCGGATTTGTGCTGTCGCAGGTGTACTCTTGCAGCGAGCTTGAAGGGAGGAGGTTGTGGGGGAGAAGTGAAGCTAGTGTATGGACTCCACGATGAGTTCTTCAGTGAATTAAGGTTGATTTTATGTGTTTGTGCAGCTGTGTGGCCTTTACTGTTGACTGGATGTTTATTTTGAAGGTGGAGTGTGTCGGATGTTGAAGCAGTTCCAAGTTATGTGACATTGAAGCTTTGTTACCGTGTCTTAGATGGGTATGTTGCAATTTTCAGAGTTAGTTTGCTGACGTCTGGTTCAGAGGGTGTAACCTTCGTGAGGCTTGATGGCTTGTGTTGTGTCATTTTCTCCGAGGGTTGTATTAGCTTTGTGCTGTGTCATTTGCTGTTGTCTTAGAAACGGTTAACATCAGTCTTACTTGCAAGCTCGTGGCAGAGTAACCCTCAAAGCGAAACTCCCTGTAACATAGTGAGGCAACCTGGGATTGACATTCTAAGGATTAGTGAGTAAAAAGCCTTCCGGTGATAAGAAATATAGTGAACTTTGATGGAAGTAGTAGCGCACCCAATATTTTCATCGCTGGGGGCTTGGAAGCATAGTCTCGCATTGTACTGCCAGTCAGAAATTCTGCCTGAGAATACTTAGTTCACAATATCATAGATGGACAGAGTACCCGGTAGTGGTTGATGTCTTTCAACCCCGTATTTGTTATCTCGGATAAATTTCAGCTGTTGAAAGCAGGTACCCTCGACGTGAACTTTTTGTGTAAAGTCGATGTTTACTTGATCTGGATATAGGTTATGAGCTCGTGTCCGAAATTCTGCTAGCATTCCGGAAAACTATCGTTATACTGAGCATGAACATTTCGCCATCCTGCAGTTAGAGTTTGGTCAATTAACATTTGACAAATGTTCTGTATCGTTTAACTGTTAGTCTGTACTGCATATTTAACATCCAACCGGATGTGATCATGGATGGGGAGTTCAAATGGCCGAGTCCAATTGTAACGAGATTGTGAGGACAATCAAACTGCTTGAAGAGTGTAATTCCTCCAGGAGAGCCGATCCCCTTACAATGTACATGTTTTACACTCGTTCACTGTTCAATGAGTCTCGTCCAAGATGATATGGAAATTCTGACACAGCTGTCCGTCATGCAGGATGCTCATGACTATAAATTTCTGTGAGCGAAGAACCCTGAACTATAAACTATCTACTAGTGTCAACGGAAACACGTTTAGAATCTTGCAGTTCAGGCCAGACTTCACGTTCAATTCACAAACAGAATGCCCAACCGAAGTCGTGAAACAGTATAAGACATTAGATACACGATTGAGAACTGTGCGGAAAGAGATGTCACGAGACTAATAGATATAGGATTAAAAAAATTCACGTTCTATATGATGAGGTATCTGGTGTAGAATTTCCAATAATTTCTATGTAGTGAAAATCTAGCTACACATAGACCGCTCTTGTAACGATGCCCAAGTGGAGTTGCCATTGCCACTTAAGGGTAGCATACGCTTCTTGTCAGGTTGTCCAGGGGTAGCATTTCTAGCCTAGACCGAGAATGCAGACCTTATAAGTCATTTACCTTTATTGAATATGATGTCAGGAGAGGTCTATACGGTCACCTAGCCTTTCGTCATGTACAAGTCCGCCTTACCTTGAAGGAAAAAGCTGACTAGATGGGTAAGCTAACAGAGCTTAGCCTCCCAGAGACAATCAAATCACGGGCCCATCAGAATGCCAGGAGTCCCAAATCAGGTTCTAAAACAATACACAAACTCGACAAATTCGAAAGCCCTGGGGGATCACAGACAAAGTCCAACAACAGCCCACGGCCATCCCCTATCCCCAGCAACAGTAACATTGACAACATTTCTGTTGGTGTTGTACATTCCCGCTGTGTTTCGAAACAGCTGGACTTTGGTTCTCTTGAAAGCGTCTCGTTTAAGAAGGGAGCAAATGCTGCTCCAAATAGTGCAGCAACCATGCTTCTTCTGGACACTAACGTTGGTTTAAGTCGCAACAACAGCAGGAGATTTTCGCAGGAAGGCCTCTGTGATACTGAGTCGGTTACAGATTATGTCTGTGGTTTCATCACTACAGATGAGCTACGACAGATTAAGCAGATTCTCCATGCCTCAAGTAGCAGGCTGGAGGAGCTCTACAGGAAGGTAGCCCCCCAACTAACGGTATCATCTTTTTAAAGGACTAATTTGCACAAATTATAGCATTGAGATGCTTCCCACATCGATCATCAATTGTCTGACGAATTTTATGCTCTTCTGTATCTTTTTTCAGGTTTCAGAGACTCCAGTTAAAGACCACAGTACAGGTTTTGAAAGCCTGCAGTGGGACATTCTCAAAGAAACAGGTTATATCAGCTGGTTTGAGTTGGCTCTTTCACTAGCAGGATTTCTCAGTGCTTACTGCGTTGAGGAAGAGGAGTTGACCGTTAAAAAGAATAAGTGGATTTCGCTGAGGTCTATGTCCAATTGTGTTCTTGAGCAGCTGGATGAACTAAAATCCAACTTGGAGTCAGACAGTGATATATACAAGCTGGCAGCTGGGACACTAGTTTACTGCTGTTCGGTCGTCCGGCATTTGGAGCAGAAATCTCAAAAGTAAGTCTTTGTTGGAACCATGCAGTTGTGAATCAAAATCTAAACTGGCTAGTTCTGGACATTATCATATGGTGGTGATGCATTTTAATAGCAATTTTGAAAATTCGTGTGAGTATACAACTTGAAGTCCCACGGTTTCACAGATTAAAATGCAGGATCACAATGTAATTTTGGAAGATGAAGTCCATTTATCATCTTCATCTCAGAATCAGTATCACATAAACGGGCCCTTAAGGCGTTCAAACAAGTTCTGTCTTTCTAAACTTGACATGTACTGTTAAATATTGTGGTCACCATCTTCCATTTCGTCATGCTTGATTCAGGTGTGGCTGCTTTGGCCCTCGATCAGATGCTTATTTCAAAGAGCAGATAGAAGGGATCACACAGGAACTCAAAAATTTACAGGACAATTTGAACTTCGCAACCCTAGCAGCTGTCGGAAATCGTGTCTCGCCACCAATAGCAAGATCATCCAGAATTGTTATGAGATTACCGGAGCAATTACCTTCTATTGTTGGTTTGGAGTCGCACATTAATCATATAACCGAATACATGAAGAAGAACGGGGTCTCTTTGATTGGAATTTATGGACAGCCAGGGATAGGTAAAACTACATTGCTAAATGAAATTGTGGCAAAAGTAGAAGCATCTGAGAAACGATTGTTTGCTTACATTGAACTTAATGAGGACCTACGGAAGCTGCAATCTTCCTTGTTACTACAGCTTGGAGGTGGGAAGAAAGAGTTCTCAAGTACTGCTCAAGGGCGTAGCGCAATTCTCTACCAGCTTCAGAAACTCAAACAGCAAAACAAAGTCGTCCGGATCGCAATAGATAACCTCTTCGATGTGAGATTGGTGGGAGATCTTTTCCCACACAGTCTAGGGAAGGTACTTTCGAATCAAAGTTCCGTGTTGATCACTTGCTCTTCTATGGCGATTCTCACGAAAGTAGACCAATTGTGTCGAACGGCTAACACTGCTTACAACTATTTGCCATACAAACTTCCGCACATGACAGCTGAAAATGCGAAGGCTCTCTTTATATCCTATGCTACATCGGAGCCTGTTCAGTCTCTGTCATCAACGAATGGGATGTTCTCGAAGTTAAATGACCTGATTGAAAACTTTCTGCCTTTTTGTGAGGGTCTTCCGATGGCTGTGAAAGTGATGGGCTCATATTTTGCTACCCCGGCTAACCGGGCAGAGGAAAATTGGAAGGCAATTGCCAAGCGTCTGAAGCAAGCGGAAGTAGACATGGATACCTCCCAGGATCAGATGTTTGCGAAGCTGATGGTAATTTCATTGATTTCAGATGGTATTTGCTTATTAGCAATCGTTTCAACTTAACTTGCGATCAAAGCTGTCATCACAGATATCATTTGCAGAAAACAGATAAAAACACACATAAGACAATCACTTCTTGTGAGTAAGATTGGGACGTTATTGAGCGATCTTGAAAGCTAAACTGTCAGGTGAATACTGTCGAAATTCTGTCCCGACATAGACGATTGACGAGACAAATCCGCTTGACGCAGGTGATTTATGAGAAGTTGGAACCTCCTCAGAAAGAAGCTTTCTTGGACATAGCAGTATTCTGCCGATACTGGGACTGGAGAATTGTGGAGCGTATAGTGGGGAAACCTCAAATAGATGCATTGGTGGATCTTGGTCTAGTGCATGCAAAATTGAGGGACACAGAGAGCTTCTCAGGAATTGCTCATTTTACTCGTTACTCTGAGCAACCTTGGAGAACACACATGGTGATGATGCATGACTTACTGTATGCTATAGCTTGTCGGCGTGCATGTGGTAACCGCGTGCACTCTGAAGATCAAACTCATTTGCCCGATCGGCTTTTGATGGATAGCCCTGGCACTGTAAGACACCCTCCTAGAATCTGTGTAAAGACCACAATTCATCTATTGACCTCGGTGCAATACTCTATTGATCAATTAGTTGCCATTCTATGTACATTTCATTCAACTTTTGACTCACGCTGGGTTTGTGTAGGAACTAAGCCATATCCAAGGCCTATCCCTCATAAACTGCAAGGAGGCTCTACAGGGTACAATCTTGGAGAAGATGTCGAACGTTCGAATAATCATTCTTCATGACGTAAATATAAAAGGATTCTGCACGAAGAATTTGAATCAACTGCAATTTTTCTACTGGGGAAAGAGTCAGATTGGAAGGGATATACGCATACCTTTTCAGTTGTGCAAACTGCGTAAGCTGGAGATGACGATCCTTCGTGCCACTGAAATCGACCTTGCTATGAAGGTGAGTAGAGCCAACTGTCATTTCACTGCTGACATTTAGTCTTCAAACACCCGTCGTTCAAGGTGTGCATAACTCTGTGCGAGTGGTTTGCTTTATCTAACCCTTGCAAGAATTCGTACCATGATATATCGGGCTGGGATATTTAGAACTGATGACTGAAAACATTGATTCTGCAGTTCTCCTCTCAACTCAAAGATCTCACCATCTCTGGGTGTAACAATATGATTGAGCTACCCCAGACAATTCTCGTCCTTGCTAGCTTATTGGAGTTGCATCTCCTCAGTTGTAACAAACTCCAACACCTGACAAACGGGTTTGGTAGTCTGAAATCTTTGCGCCGCTTCCGTCTCGAGAATTGCGTTGGCGTTCGGCAACTTCCTAAATCGATTGGCCAGCTTGCAAACCTTTGCGAGATGGACCTCTCGGGATGTACAAACATCACTACTTTACCCTCTGAAGTTGGCAACCTTGTTGGGCTTGAGAAACTGAACCTCTCACGATGTAAATGTTTGATCCGTTTGCCACCTGAGCTCGGTTCGTTGCCAAAGCTAACTACGCTGGACCTGAGTAAGTCTGGGATCACCGCATTGCCTCCAGAGGTTGGAAAGCTGGAGACCTTGGAGTCGCTCTCTCTCTCTGGATGTGTCAGACTAGAGAAACTGCCGAAGGACATTGGTAAACTGTCAACGCTTCGTCAACTGAACTTGGGATCATGTACCAGTCTCAAAGATCTTCCTCATGAAATTGGAAAACTGAAATCGCTTCAAAAACTGTCTCTCAATTCCTGTACCTCACTAGTCCGTCTACCCGAAGAGCTGTTTCAAATCGTCACCCTTCAGGCCCTCGACTTAGACTACTGTAAACTTGTGGCTCACCTATCGTCGGAGATTCGAAACCTAAAGTCACTTGAACGGCTCTCCCTTAACTGCTGTACTAAGCTCAACAGGCTACCCCTTGAAATTGCCAGTCTACCAACATTGCAGGTTCTCAACTTGGTCGGATGCACTGGGCTTAAGGCAGAATTTCCCAAGGAGTTGCGGAAAATGACAAATGAAAAGTTGGTGAAGGTGCACAGGGATGACGATTTTGTGATGCTGGAGGGACCAAAAATCCCCAGTTTCAATCACTACAACTCTGCAATGTAAGCAGTGTAAATAGTAAAACGCCTGCGCTACGGGTGTCCTTGATCGAATACTTGTACCCTAAACTGAAGATTGAGATAGACCTGCCAGAATGTAAATTTGGTTTAGCGCTTAAAAGGGAATTGAATATTTGGAGTGACAGCAAAAACAGATCCAAAACGAGCTCCACATCCTTTGGTTACAACTCGGCGAACAGCGGAGGATTCCTACTCGAATCTTTGTAACCGAATCTATCTCAACACGTACGAATGTGCTCAGCCTGAAGAACGCGCAACTTTTACAGGTTCGAAATTTTCAGTTGGAATTGAATTTCAATAATCAACGGATAGACGGCGCCGGAAAACTCTCACAAGAACCTTGATATTTTCAATGAAACTAGAAAATGAGTTCAGTTTAAGGCATTTTAGTTTTCTTGCTTACAAAGGTAATTTGTGCGAGTGGTGATTTTAGGAACTTTACACACTGGAGATTTGTAGTGACTCTCAGCATGGCTGCGCTTTTAAATTAATATGTCGCGCACAAAGTTAGTGATTTGTAAGATTTTGAGATGCAAGATCAGTGAACTACGTGCAAGCTGCAACACAGCGACGGTAACCATGCAATGAGTTCATTAACTTGTAAAACAGGAGTCAATTTGTTGCCAAGCAAGTGCGCACGTTGCCAATCCAAGCTTCTTTCGAAGCAACCTCCCAGATTGCTGTCAACATGCACCATTCAGGTATCATTCCATTCTTTTCAAATAGCAGTTCCCATCTGTAAACTCTACAACAAAGTTTGCTGAGTTGCTGGAAATACCTGGAGATTAATGCATGGATAAATCTCTAATTAAACGACGTATCCAACTGCGACAGATTTCCTCCAAGCTCCAGGAATGGAGATGGAAGAATCCAGTATCCTTCATTGTCAGTTTGGATGAGGGTATTGGGTAACAGCTAAGGTTGGCTCTTCGCAAGCAATAGCATTGATCAACTCTTCTCTTCTTCGAAGAAATCGTGCAACCCTTCCGTTCAAACAGCATATGCTCACTTCTGTGCCATCGCATTGCTTCTATCTCTTTTCGGAAGGGATAATTCTATGGAATTGCTGCTATGGGCATTCCCTTTGGCTGGAAAACTCCACAGATTCGGTTGAGTGAGTGATCATGTTCGCAAAAAGGGTTGAAAATTCGGTTGAGCTTGATCAAGCAATGTTTGTTGCTGTTGTGTTATTTTATTTTTTAAAAATCTTTGTTTAATAGTTACTGGGAGAAACGGAATCAGGAGACCAAGGCATTCAAAAGGATGAAACAAACGCCAAGTGAAATTCCTCATCTCGATTTACTGCTCCCACCAATTCCGTGATTGTAACTGACATGCTTGTCTGTTTCAATCTGTTCAAGCTCATCCTGGTTCTGGACATCATAGTTTAATACTTTTTGCAGATGCTTTTTGTTGTACACACTGCCATCATAATTGATTTATTAGTTGTTGGGGTGGGGAATTCTTTCATATTTTTTCTGAGTCTTCATGTTGTGTAACGGGAGGTCAGAGAATCTTCATCTCATGGAATTTTCAATTAAAAATAACTGATTGTTGAGTATAATTTCTCCATATTGTTAAATTTTTATTTCATTTTATTCAAATTGTAAATCCCTAAAACAAAAATGAAAAGGCATGTTTCTTAACTTTTGGTCATTAGTGCACACAAAAGGGTGTCAATGACTCCAAAAGATCTTGTAGAAGAGAATTCTCTCTATGACTCCAAATGTAGTGTAGTAATCCCTGATGTCTTCTCAAATGACAATTTTATATCATATTCAGTGAAATTTATATGTTTACATGAAGATACTTGAGATTTTAGATGATTTGTTGCTGATATTGTAACACAGATAAGTGTAATCAGATGATTTTAAAATTTGTACACATATATATATATATATATATAAGATTTTATATTGTATAAACCATTAAATTTTGATTTAAAATGTAATGGATGTATGAGACAAATGGTTGGTAGCATATGTTTTATTTTTTTGATATTAAAATTTTGATTGATATAACTAGAGATATTGTATACCAATTTTTATATGGAAGTTTTAAAGTTTTGAAAGATATTTTTAACTCAAATATAAAAAATACCTTCAATTAATGAAGATAATTTTTAGTTTTAAGTTTTGGCAGATCCAACCACATGACATTAAAATCGTTTTAAATTATTTTTATTCTATATCATTTTATCTACTATATATATATTGGATAATATTTAAATAATATGTTTTAAGGTTTTAGATTGGAGTATGAAATATGTACCATAGAAGGAGGATTGAAGTTCTATTTCATAGATATTAATCCTTCTATAATTGCTAATACAACAAATCCAATTCAAATTTTCAAAAACTTTTTAATTTGATGTTGACTTTGTTAGAACCCTTATTACTGATTTCTAATGGTTTTAGCCAAAAATATTTACATTATTCTATAAAACAACTATATATAATATCTTCTATTGTTATATTGTACCAAGTTTTTTAGTATAATTTTACATTGTATTTTTATATCCACATTATCAACATATATATTTCATCGATCCATTTTAATCAAAGTGGTGGGATGATTCATTGTTATCATAATTCTCTTCAATTTTAACATTATAATAATCTAAAAGGATATTTATATTTAGATGCTCACTTTAAAAGCCCATGGTTTAAATGCTTTACCAACTATTCTTGCTTCGTGACAAAAAGCCTTCCTTAGGAAGCCTTGGCATATAGTATACACATATATGTGACAATGCTAGAAAATTGATCATATCATTATTATATTACAAACCCAAATATGCCAACCTATATCTTGATTCAAACGATTATGAGAAATTTTAGAAAATCTCTTGATGAAGGTGGAAAATCTGTAAGACCTCCCAACTCATAAAGGTCTAAATTTAAGATGGAATAAAACATACATTAGAATCTCACACCAACAAGTGTAAGGGGTTATATTTCTTATTCATTGAATTGAAACCTCTGGTTAGTGGACACCTATCCAACTTACCCACCAGTCATTCTCGTCCAAAGCACCCAGAACTTGAGAAAGGAAAAAATTGGCCTTTTGTCATTTGTCCCACAGAAAACAAGGAGAAAGGCATCACTTGGACACACTACAGTACATGGTATAAGGGACACAACTTGGCTGGGTTACGGGTTCATTTATCTGTAGCAATGGATCTCTTAGTGAAGAGAAAATAAGATTTCCGGAACTAATTCTACTTGACCAAATGGATAGATGCGCATCAGCGGTGATGGCCGTGAGATCGACGCCAGTCTCAGGACATGTTCAGCGCCCACGCGATGACGCCCACCACTCCGCCGCCAACGACAACAAGAGGCTCTAACCAGTGCAGCTGATCCACGGCGGTGAAACCTAGAATCCCTATACAAATGGAAGTGTTGGGGAACGGACTCTGCTTGTATGCGCCGAGCGTGAGGGAAAAGACCGACGTGACGATCAGTCCAATTCCTGCAGCATTCAAGCCTGGTAAAGCCCGGTTGTACAAGCCCCAGTTTCTAAACTTCCCCCAAAACGGTAGCATCCCAAAGATGAGCAGGATGCCAGGAACGAAGATGCCGAGCCAGGCGATGATGGCTCCGACGACAAACGTATATCCTTGTTTGATGGCCATGATCGTTCCCAAATACGCTGAGAAGTTGAACAACGGGCCTGGGAGTGCCTGCTGCACGCCTAACCCCGCGTAGAATTGTGTGCTCGTCACCCACGTGCTGGGGTTGTCCTGGCAGACACCTTCGCTGTTGCAGTCCTGCTGGACGAGGTCTGTGTAAAGCATTGGGAGCACAACTTGACCTCCTCCATAGATTACTGAGCCCGTGCGGTAGAAGACCTCCCACCACTGGACGCCGACACGTTCCAGAATTAGTCGGTTCATTTCATAGAGCAGAAAACCTGACAAGCGATTGAATCAAACCCGCGACTGGTCGAAAAATGAGAGGTTAGTACCTGGAGGAGCATGGATGGATTCTTCGATGCGCGCCGAACAATGAGCGTGATGACCAATGCAACCAGCCAGACGGTTATCAGTACAGCACCGGCGTACACCCCGAACCCATGCTTCCCCGCTGAATCCTCTGTGGCCTGTATTTCAGAGGGAAGATGGGAAAAGATTAGGTCGAGGAACTTACACAATTGCGCATGAAAGACAGTATCGAATGGATATGATGAGCGGCACTTACCGTTTTCTTCTTCGGCGTCTCTTTCTTGTAGTACGACCAGAAGATCGTAACCAATCCACTCCCTACGATGACGGCTGGAAATGTATAGGGCTTCGGCCAGTAGAAAGCAATGACGGCAGTCACCGTGCAGATGGTCGCCAGCAAAGGCGTGGCACACAATTTTCTGCACATGGATTTGGAAGCGGAGGCTACAAGAGCAATACCAACAGCTGCCACACCTGCAAAAGGTGTCCAGAAGCTCCCCGATTTAAAGCCATGGAACTTACCTGGACAATTCAAATGTACAAAATTAGGTCTACAAACTAATTATGCCCAGCATATGATGTTTTCCCACACCTGCTGCAATTCCGTCCAGCCACCCTTGAGGATTCTCAAGCTTCTTCGCTGCGAAGACACCGATGGCGGTCATGATAATCGCACCAGGATACTGAAACAAGATTCCAGAGAGGAGCCCACCGAGCACTCCTTTCTTCAAGACGCCTAATGCAAAAGACACTTGCGTCGAAGCAGGCCCCGGCAAGCACTGGCAGAGAGCGAAGATCTCCAGATACACGGGCAGTGTCAACCATCGGAGCCTCTCCACGAGGCGCTGCAGGAAGCATACAGAATATTAGCGCATCCTTCGCACTGAAAACGATCGAGGGGTGTACCAGAGTGAAGCATGAACCAAATTACGGACACAATGAATACAATTACTCTTCTTACCTTCTGAAAGAGAGCAATGTGCGCGGCGGGGCCTCCAAAAGCCACCCACCCCAGCAAAGAAAATTGCTTCGCGATATCTGCGTAGCTCACAGTTGCCACTTTGAAATCTTCTTCCTCTTCCACAATTGCTGCAGGAGCAGGAGGAATGGGGGAATGAATTCCAATGGGAATCTTCTCCTGCGCTTCTACGTCCATCGGGTGTCCTCCATTTGGCTTGTCACCGTTTGTACGTCTCTCGTGCAGACCCTCGACTGGCATGTTCGAGGATGCAATGGGCGTCGTCATCTTCGACTGTAAAAGAAGAAACGTTCGAAGCTTTACGTCAGCATCGGGGTTTTAAGAACGTAGCTGAGTCTCAGGGAGGTGTTTCGGACTTATCCAGGAAATTGACGAGACAAAAATTCAACCATCCAGAGAGTGTTCAGGGCTCGGCACAAATTGCTTTCAAGAAAGCAATCGAACGCGGGAGTTCCAAGTCATACATCCGCTCAAGACTAAGCAATAAGAAGTCTGTTCAGAGTTTCTCTGTCACATAGTATCAGAAAAACATCGATTCACTTGCTTCAATCAATCTTTCCCACTCGAGAAAGCACATGCCTCATGAAACGACACTGAGGGTCTCTAATTCTTTGCAGTTTCCAATGCAAACCCCTAACAATCGAATCGCAAACCTAGCAATCTCAGGTTGAGATTGGACCACCAGCTAATAGCCGGAATTCGCAAGGGGGAAGCCTACACATTAGATGTTCTCGTAACGGATCTAACAGAAATGAAAGTATCCCTCATGTGCTCTGCTCGCACCTACCAGACAAGAAAAAGGCTAGAGTGAAAACCATTGAAGAGTCTTCCAAACTGAAAGAAGGAGGTGTGTCACAAAGAAGGCATCGATCACTCAGCTCCTTCCCGGTGCACAAGTCGCACATATCTAGTGAGCTGCACCTGGACAACTCGCCACTGTTCCCAGCAAATAGGTGAACAGTGCCGCTGACAAAGCACTTTCACATTGGATGTCTACTCTCGGACCTAAACCCGCCCGCAACCCGGCTTTCAGAACCCAAACCAGCTCCAGATCTACCTCACAACACATGGAGCCTCAGCTTTCGAGTGATCTCACGATCGGACCGTCAGGATTCCTGCCTCTACGAACAATTCGGAGACATGCTATTCCAAGGTACTGACAATAAAACACTGCAAAAAGTACACAAACTCCAGCATCTGGCGTACAAAAGTCGTATTATCGAAACCGTAAGGTTCTCCGCACGAATCGTACTGGAGGGCCATCCTACCCAATGGAGGAACTCGCGCAGATAATCCTGTTGGAACAGAACTCAACGAGCGAGTGTCAGCCGGTCCAAGCCAGTGGGGCACCACCGATTCAGGTTCTGCGGCGATCGTGTGCTTCAAGGATGACCGTGCGAAGCGGCGACTGTGTCGGCGCATCATCATGCAAGATCCTTCCTTGAGGGCCAGGCTGAAGCGCATATTTGCCCAATTTCGCGGTAAGGTCGCGATGAAGTAGAATATACAAAGAGATCTCCCATGCACATCTCGCAATTGTCCACGATGTTCGTTCGTTGCTAATACTCTCCCAGGCTTGCGTTTGTTCATCCTCTTTCGTTCGTCTTCGTTCGTCGTCAGTGCTTTCACGTTCGAATATCGACATCGGCATGGCTTTCTGTTGCCATCTTGGCATCTTTATTACAATATCAGCCACCTGTTCATTTCTTTATAACCACCAGTGTTGTATCAAACCAGACTTTTTGTTGCAGAATGTTGCTGAAAAAACTTTTTAGTCTTTTGATTACTACCTTTCCTGCATCACTCGTTTTAAAAGATTTACACACATGACTGGAGTGTTAAAGAAAACTGTGGTAGATCTAATAAATCACTCAGAAACATGGGAATGATGAAATATATATATATATATATATATATATAAAGAAAAAGAATATATTTTTATTTTGAAATTATGTCTTTCTTTTTTAAATACACTCAATTCAAATACTTGCATTTAAGAAATAAATAACTGGTGTTATCAAGTACTTAGTGTTTATTGGTTGTTGGAAAAATAAATAATTTATAAGATAATTTTAGTATTGATAAGTTTTCAAGGTAATATCATTTTAAAGAGAAAAATTAATAATGTTACCACAAAAGAATATATCAATCATTTAAAGTGATAACATTCTTTAAGAAGGTTATTGACTAAAAGTAAACATTGTATGTATACTTTACATGAACAATACTAGTGGAAACCTTGGCAAATATACATTAATTTATTTATTTGTTGGAAGCTTCAAAGCTCCACACCTAGGAATTTTGCAATGCTACTCTTGGCAATCTGTAGCAACATCATGTTGATTTTGATTTCTAATTGATCAAAAGTTGAATTATTGCTTCACTTTTGTTTCTTTTTTGCTTTACTTTTGATGAAAACAATGAGATATGCAACCATTTAGAGATGGTTTTTGTCTCCTTTGTTTTATTGTATTAATTTATTCCCTCCTTGAATTGTTTTATATAAAGATAAACACATTGTCATACCAATTCTACGACTCGTGTTAGTGTATGTAGTTTTGTACATTATGTAATACATAAAATAAGATAATAATTTAATATTATAAGTTTATTTCCATAACATTCTTACCATGTTTGAAGCTTATAGGTGTACATTTATTTATAATCAAGGTTTCTATTTTTTCAACAAGATATAAAAATATTTGTATACATTAGATAACAATAAGAATAAGCTTTCAATGTAATTATTAAATAAATCAAAAAAAGATATAATAATTATATTAAAGCATTGTAATCAAAAATGTTGGAACCATAGTAATTTTGTAACTTTTTAAGTTATTAAACATGCTCTTTGATGTTCAAATTACAAGCTAATTACTTATTTTTAAGAAATTAAAAGAATACATTAAAAAATCAACTGCATAAAACAAGAACATCCCATCATTGTTATAAGGTATAATGACCACATGGTTTGGAAGCCATAAAATAATAATAAATAATATACATATAGTAATTTCTTTAAAATTATTTTAAATTACGTATTTATTTACAAGGTTTTGGAGTTGCTGCTTAGATTCTAGAACAAAATAGAAATATTTGTTATCACATGCATGTTACATAATAAAAAACAGAAAAAGAAAAAAAGATACAAAATAACATATTTTCATGATATTGCATATATATATATATATATATTCATTCTTAAGTCGTATAACTCTAAATTTAAGTTCTAAAAATTGTCTATTTCAACACTAATATTTTTTTAATTTTTTATTTAACTATATATATATATATATATATATATATATATATATATATAATTGGTTTTTATAAGTATAATTAGTGGCAATAAATATAAGAAGTTGCTTAAGCAACACCCCCATATTGCTGATGCAACACCCCACATATATATAGTAGGGAGATGAGGAGTAGAGGAGTGTATATTTATACAAGCAAAACATTGTTGTCTTTATACAAATACTTATAATACAATCACATGATTTTATTATGTTTAAAATTTCATAAACTTCCTACAATGAATGTTTTTTTTGATGATTCTATTAATTGCAGTACAAACTGCAACAGAAATAAGGAAAAATTCAAATCTTCAATACTTGAATTGTACATGGTTACCATCATATTAGAAATCTGAATAAGATAAGATGCAATGTTAAGAGTATTTAAGATTTCCATACATTTTGAATTCATTTTTTGTTGCAATGAAACAAATCAATTTTTATTCTTATCCTTATTTTTCCGTGATCATTTTTTCAATTATCAAAATATTACAAGTTATGTGCAACATTAATTCTTAAAAAATAATATAAAAAAAGACAACCAAAGAAACTTACCAGAATCCCTCAGAACACCCTTGAGCCCTGTTTAGGATCTTTTTACAAGGCAAATGAAAAAAATTTATAATTTTATAATAAATAAATTTATTTTCTTATCTTTTATCTCTATATTTTGATATATATTTTTAGTTTTTTTGTACGATTAGAAAAAATTCTACATATTTTTTTAGTAGTAAAATTTTACAAAATACACCATAGAAGAAGGGTTATAATTTTTCAATGAAAGAATTTGGAATTTCTTTGTGATTTAAGTTGAAATATTCTAGTATTTTTTTTTGAGTTCGATTCTTCAATCCTATAATAAATTATAAAACTATGATCTTATTTGTTAATTTTTTGGAGATGAGTATAACAACAACAGTCAATTTAAAAAATCTATAATAATATGAATCATGGAATAGAGTAAAATACCACCCATCACAAGTTAAGTATAATACTAAATAACCTATCAAGTATTACGGTTGTAATGCACTATCCAACATTCAGATCAATTAGAAGCATTTTTTGGATTATTCTTTGAATTGTTAAAAATATTATAAATTGTTGAAAATGTTTAGAAAGACATAAGAGTAATAGTAAGTAATACACACACATAAGAGTAGTAAAAAGTCATACACATAAGAGGGTTTTTAAGGAGAGAGAGCTTCACACATAAAATTCTATTGATCTCATTATATCTCATATACAAGAAGAGAAAAGGAGAGAAGCTAAACAATACTTCTCCACTAGACTCTAAATATTGTAGCTATAGTATTTATTATAGCCTACAGTAAATATTATAGAGAGCGCCAGCTACATTTAATGATCTCAACACTCCTCCTTGCTCATCATAATATTTACATAATATAAAATTTGTATAGAATTATCATCTATACTATTCTGTGATCTTGCAAGATCAATAATTGTTGCCTCATTAAAACCTTATCTAAGAAAATCTTATTGTATTTAAAGACAAAATCATAGATGAAGGAAAAAGAGTACAACATCATTTTCTTTAATTATTTAAAGAGCTCATTAACTTTCTTATTCAAGAAAAGCAAGTCGCCGCATACCAATGCCATAAATAAGTTGACGATGGTTGCACAATGGGAGAGCTTTGGTGAAGAGATCAGGAAGGTTATTTGTAGATTCAATTTTCTTAATTATAAGCGCTTGATCAATAATCAAGTCATAGGTATAACTAAAATACTTTGGATCAATATACTTTATACTATCGCCTTTAATGAAACCAACTTACATCTGTACAATACAAGTATTGTTATTTTCATGCAAGATAGTTGGAGAATCATCATATAAAAATCCATAGGTTGTTTGAATAAATATATCAATTTATCTCAACCAAATATATTCTTGAGATGCTTCATGTAAGGCAATAATTTTTGCATGGTTGGATGAAGTTGCAGTTATTATTTGTTTCACTGATTTCCATGATATTACAGCTCTATGTCTTAAAAATACATATCCTGTTTGAGATTTAACTTTTGCAGTATCAGATTTATATCCTGCATCACAATATCTAACTAATTTTGGATCTGTGGATTGTGTGTAGTATAATCCCAAGTCTTCAGTATCTTTTAAATAACGTAATGAATGTTTGATGCCATTCTAATGTCGTAGTATTGGAAGTGCACTATGTCTTGCAAGAATACTAACTACAAATGTAATATCTGGTCTTGTAGATGTAGCTAAATACAAAAGTGCTCCAACTGCTGTAACGTATGGATATTGATTTCTCAATATTTCATCCTCCTCTTCACATGGACGGTATGGATCATGACCATCACGACCACGTTCAACCATTGGTGTGGACAATGGATAAGCATCAATCATATTAAATCTTCACAAGATTTGTCTAATATACGTTAGTTGGTAGAAAAAAATACTACCATCTGTTAGATGTATAATTTGAAGACCAATTAGATGTATAATTTGAAGAAAGTTGTTTTTCCTAGCATTTTCATCTCAAATTCACGTATAAGTAGGTTAGTAGCTATAATACATGTAGATGTAGTGCTCACTAGGTTAAGATCATCAATATATACAATGATGATCACAAAACCAGTTTTATCTTGTTTGATAAACAAACAAGGGATTAATGGATCACTTATAAAATTATTTGTAATTAAATAATCTCAAAGACGTTGATACCACATATGTCCAGATTATTTTAAACCATACAATTCCTTACATAATTTAATACCATGATATATTCCTAGAGCTGGTCGATTTGGAGTTCATGTTTCTAAGCCAAGTAGAACTTTCATATAAATATTTGCATCAAAAGAACCATATAGATATACAGTTACTACATCCATCAGATGCATTTTAAGGGTGGCATGAAGTATCATTCCAATAATATATCAAAATGTAATTGAATCCACGATTGGAGAATATGTGGATTCATAATCAATACCAAATCATTGAGTAAATCCTTGAGCAACAAGATGAGCTTTATGGTGAGTTATTTGGTCTTGACCATCTCGCTTGCATATAAATACCATCTTATATCCCATAGGGTGAGATAAAAGAGTGTCTACAATTAGATCAAAGACTTTTCTCTTAGGCAAAGAGGCATATTCCTCCTCAATAACAGTTTTCTATTTTGATCAATTAGATTGCGACACATCACCTCCTTGATGGTTTGAGGTTCAAGATCATCTTCCTCACAAGAAAGGTCTTCTATAATCATATATATAAATGATTCATCTACTATAATAGATGGTCTATCCCAAATATCATCTCTAGTACAATACAGAATAGATAATTCTTTACTCAACTTGTTCTTATTCCTTCTAATTCGAAGATTGTTTTTCATAGGAATTGAATGTACATTATGCATGGATATATCATCATGAATTGATAGTCTTGCAAGATGAGTGGCAATTTCTTGAGAAATAATACTAAGATTAGTCAATTTTATAGCTTTCTTCTTACGTGGTTACTTATTTGGTCCACAAATTCTTTTACTTGTTGTTGTTATAACTTGAGGTATTGTAGTCAATGGCACTGCAATCTGAATAGGTACATACTTAGCCTCATTAATAGGAACTCTTGTAATTCTAGGTGCATCATTGAAGCCATTAGGTATTATATCTGTCATTTACTTTAGATGTAAAATCTTAGCAACTTCAGTTTTTGCCAAAGATGTCTTAGGATCAAGATTCATTGTAAATGTTTCTAGTGCTTCAAATATGAGTACTTTATTTCTTTGTTGATTGGATACTCCTCCTTTAAGAGATGAGAATACATTTTCTTCAAAATGGAAATTTTGCAAATGTGCATGTAATAATATGCTAGTTGATGGATCAACAATACGAATAATGCTTGGTGAATCAAAACCAACATATATGCCTTCTTGTCGATGAGCTCCAATGGTACGTCGTTGAGGTTCTGGTACTGGAATCCAAGCACGGCAACCAAATACTCGTAAGTGAGGTATATTTGGAACACAATCTGAAATGAACTCATGTGATGAAAAAATTTCAAAAAAAGAAGGGCGGAGACGTATTAATGCTACAGTATGTAAAACTATATGACCTCACATAGATGCAGGTAAATTTTTATGAAGGAGGAGTGGCCGAGTAATGAGTTGTATACGCTTTATAAATGACTCTGCAAGTTCATTTTGAGCATGTTCATATGGAACACAATATGTTAACTCAATTCTTGTTGTAGTACAATAGTCTTCAAAAGACTTTGATGCAAATTCTTTTGTATTATCCGTGTACAATGTTTTTATGGGATAATCATGAAAATATGCCCGAAAACAAATAAGCATAGATATAAGATTAGCAAACACCATGTTTTGAGTTGATAATAATGAAACATGTGATTTTTTACTTGATGCATCAATAAAAACATAAAAATAATGAAATGGTCTTGATATGGAATTAATAGGACCACAAATATCACCATGCAATCTTTCAAGCATTGGTAGTAAATCTTGTGGAAGTTTCCAAATTGAAGGCCGAGTAATCATTTTAACTTGCACGCATACACGACATAATTTCATACAATCTACATCCGTAAGCTTTAAATTGTGCTCAATTATACATGGAATGATCTCTCTAAATAATGTGGATCATGGATGTTCCAATCATCCATGCCAGAGAAAAACATGACTCTCTATAAATAGATGATAAAAAATTAATGGAAGGCCGAATCACAATTTGGTATAAACCATTTTTTGTAGTAAAAGATTTTTCAATAACTTTATGGTTCTTTGCAAGAACCAAAACCTCTTTTTTATTTAAAATTGCGGTCGAGAGGTGATAACCATTAGTACGCACATCTCGATAGCTGTTCAGACTCCGAGGTGCTGAGGGTGCAAACATCGCATATTTATATTTTATGATGGAACATGTAGGTAATTTTACCATTGTTATGTCCTCTTGAAAACAAAATGCATTTGCTCCAGCCATAGTCATCATATTTTTAGTTTTCCAAGTTGAAGATTTTTCAATAAAAAAATCATCTATCTCGCAAGATAGTATGTGTTGTTGCAAAATCAATGAGTGCATCATTTGATTCATCATTAGAGGTTTTGTCATTCATATAAGCCTCTAAGTCATCAACACCAATAGAATCCATGGACGCATCTATGGTATGAACTTCACGAGTCTCAGCTCGTAGTTTCTTATTTTCTTGGAATATTTTAATAAAATATTTTGAAGTACAGCATGTGTGTGCTAAATATCCAATCATTCCACACTTATGGCAAGAATACATCTCTGATTTTTGTTTTCTACTATAATTAATAGTAGAATGTTTATTCTTTTCATATAGGTAGAAGTGATCATGACTATGACAACCTTGATATTTATAAGCACGTTTTTCATATTTATATAATTTTTTCTTAGATTTTGAAATATTAAGTGCATGAGATTTTGAAACTATAGTTCCACTATGACAAGCTTCCGCATTGCGCAAGAGTAACTCATTTTGCTTCTCCACAAAAAGTAGATAGGACATGAGATCAGAATGACTTTGAAATTTCATGTTCCTATATTGTTGTGCAAGCACAGTAGATACAAGAGGAAATGTAGAGAGAGTTTTCTCAATCATTTCTTCTTCACAGATGCTTTGTCCACATAATCGTAATTCTGAGACAATACTATATATTTCATTATTGAAAGCATTTAAATTTGGAAAATCCAAGACACGTAAATGTATCCAATTATGACATGCGCCTGGAAGAAAAATAGTCTTTTGATGATCAAACTTGGATTTAAGATTCTTCCAAAGTTCTGTAGGATCTTCTATTTTCAAGTATTGATGTTTTAATGCAAGTACAAGATGACAACGAAGGAGAAGAAGTGCTTTCCAACGAATAGTTGGATGAATAGAAATACTTATTATAGGAGATTCTTCAAACATAATGGCATCTAAGAGTTGTTCTGCAAATAAATTTGCTTTTGCCATTTTTGCCCATAATAGATAATTATTTCTACCCCCAGTCAATGGTGGAAATAAAAGAGCTTGAAAATGTTGGGATGCACTAGTAATAGTTGGAACCATAGTAGAAGTAGTTGAAGATGTTGAAGCACTCATTGTAAATAAATCTATAAAGAAAATACGAAATCAAGTAGAAAAGTTGAGTAAAACGTACCTTAAAATATAAAGTCAAATAAAATGTTAAACTTGAACTTGAAAAACAAAAATATTATTATTATTTTTTAAAAAGAAATTGTAGATTAAGGTAGCAAAACAATAGTAGGATGGCGACAGTAGGCAACAGCGGCAATGATGGCAAAGTGGGCGGCAGCGACAGCGTTAGTGGTGGCAGGGTGGGTGGCAACAGTATTGTCAGTGTCAACGGCGACAGGGTGGTAGCAGCAGCAGTTTGGCAGCAGTTCGGCGGAAGGCGCAGGGCACAGCAAGAGCAAGGTGAAGTTGGGCTAAATCAAGTATTCTAAGCAAGTATTCTAAGCAAGTAGGGCAGAGAGTGGAAGCAGTGCTCTAAGCAAGCAGCTAATGTGTGAAGAGCCAACAAGAAGAACAGCAAGATTATAAGGCAGACACTAAGCAAGCGTAGCAAGAAAAGTCAAGACTAGAGCAAAAAAAATTGTAATAGTGTATAAAAGAGAGTCGTGCTGATAACGTGTTGAGAATGTTTAGAAAGACACAAGAGTAATAGTAAGTAATACACACACATAAGAGTAGTAATAAGTCATACACATAAGACGGTTTCTAAAGAGAGAGAGCTTCACACATAAAATTCTATTGATCTGGTTGTGTCTTGTATACAAGAAGAGAAATGGAGAGAGGATAAACATTACTTCTCCACTAGACTCTAAATATTGTAGCTATAGTATTTATTATAGTCTACAGTAAATATTATGGAGAGCGCCGGCTACATTTAATGATCTCAACATAAATGACACTTTCAATAGAACCCATGGTTGACATAGTTAAAAATTATATTATTTTCCAACATTCAGACAATTTATTTAATATATTTTGACAATAATGTTATTAGTTATATATTTTTTAATGGCTCATATTTTTAATAATTAATTTAATTATTATTATAATAAAATATTTTTATTTTATTTACTATTTATTTTAAATGAGTAGGCAAATCAAAATTATTTAAACACAAAACACATGCTTCCAGACACAGCTTTCCAAACCTATTTCCATCATCCAAAATGGCCCACAGAAATCATCCATGGATGTATGTTGGATGAAAACGGCCAAATCCCTTCTTCATCCATGTTCTGGATGACAATCGAATCGACGGTCAGATTAGGGTACGCGAAGTACACATCGACGGTCTCAAGCATCCTCTTGTTGCTGTTTGAAACTTCGGTGGAACAAACTCACGTCAAGCGCAACTTTGTTGGTGGAGAGGTTGTGTATGTGTGTGAGTGAGTGAGAGTGAGAGTACTGTAGTGGTGGCTATGGTGGCGAAGCGGTGAATTGTCAACACAAACTGCACAAAAGCAACAGCTACCGAATATTAAAGCCAGCACAGTGAATGTGCGACCAGCAGCAGGGAAATGGGCTTTGCATATGGGCTGAGTGTCCGCCGATCGCTTGCACGAAGTGGGCTTCCAGTGTGACTTGGTGAAAGGAGGAGGCAGAGCTTGGCAAGTATTGTGTATGATGTACCGCTCCTAGGCAGATCACAAGTGCACGAAGCATCGATTGTGAAATGGGTTTTAAGTTCTGCACTGGGTTCGATCCAAGTTACGAGTTTTGTCCACGTTGTAGGTTGCCTTGGTAGAAGTTCTGTGATATCAGTGTTGCTCAGAAATTTAGTTCGTGCCTTTCTTGGTGACTGTGTGAGATGCTTTCACACGTACGTGCTATAATTAGCTAGTGTTGAGTTGGATGTTTGCTAGGCGTAGGATTCGTGGTTGCAGACGCATTCCAGGGAAGTGAGTGCAGAATTGTGTGGTAAGGTTTTTCGTGCAAATTTGTTGAAATTTTCTTACAAATTTTGTGCAAATTTGTTGAAATTCGTTTCCGTCTTCTAGCCAAAGTCGTCTCTGCCTGCTGGACGACGAGTACTCGCAGTAATGGTTTGAACAATGAGGTTTGTTTTTTGTTTGAGTTTTCCCTTTCGCTCCGTTTGTTTTGGAATTAGTCAATCTAGTCCTCTCTTGTACCGTGAAACCAGACTCTGTACTTTAGAGCAGCCTGCGCTGCAAGCATTTTTTTTTTTTTTTTTTTTTTTTTTTTTAAATCGTGCGGTTCCACGCAGCGGTAACTTCTACTGTAGAGTTGCGACGAGGTAGTATTAGGGTTCAAGTTTCGACTGAGTGGCAATAGATGTTAGGTGTTAAGACTCCTTTGTCTAGGTGTAAAGGATGCAATCACAACATTGAGTTCTACTTTACAATCCGCGTATTCATGTGTTTGCTTTTGATTTTCATTAGGCGTTAGGACACTTGTGAATTTCGAAGTGGACTTCTTTCCAGCTTTTCATACGCAGGGGTATCCAAAGCTAAGAAGAGCACATTAAACTTTGTTGAGTGTTCGTTGATTGAACTGTGGGGAATGTGCTGGTAACATTCATGGTTTGCAGGAAAGTGGTCGAGCGTCCCACTGGAACCTCAAGGTTGTTCGATTTTGTATTCTACAAGCGTACAGTCGGATGAACACAAGTGATTCTGGAACAGGTAGCTGGATTGTTATAAAATATAACTGTCACGTGAACGATGGTGAAGAAGAATGACCTGTTCTTGCCTGAGGAAGATCTGGCGGACCGCCGGCGCTTTTTCTCGGGGTTGATTACTGGCCTCATCATAACCATCCTCGTATTGTCTTTCTTTCTCTTTGCGAAGCGATTCTTCTAGCAATGTTCGCGGCCATCAAAGGTTAGAGTCGACTTGGACACACAACCAATGAAGACAATTGGAGCTCTGTGTATGCAGCAAAAACCTTCATGTGCACTTCCCAGTTGACCTGGATTCCCTCGAGAAAGGGGGAGTAGATAAGATTCAAGTCTCAGCTTCTCATATAATCTCTGCTGAGGAAATTGTAATAAGGGTACAGTAGAAATGAGGCCAGCAACAAGCTAAATCCATGGTCTTGTTTTCTGAATCCATAAATCTCTAAACTTGGTGGTGGAGTCAACATTGCATGCATGCCAGACGCTTGTTGCCATTTTCTAAGTTAACTGAAAGGTCAGTATTCAACTTGCAATGTAGTTCATTGGAAGCACATCTTTTGGGAGGCTGGTTAGTAAAATCGAATGAAATATACTTTTCACATTGCAGCTCCATCACGTTGCTCATTTAATTTCTTTCCTCTGTATTGGATTGCCATTTACACTTCACTGTGCTCGAAGAACAACAGGGTTATGGTGCCTGTGAACATGTTGCCACCTCTCCGTAGTAAACCACATTTGCACTGCAGACAATGTGTCAGTTTCTGCCAGGAAGTTTTAAATGTAACTGACATTGTGAAACTATTCCTGAATCACATTTTCCATTTAATGCAGAAATGTACTTCTGTCACGTTTGCTGATTCTCAAGTGACAGCGTGAATGGTTAAAGAACAAAAATAATTGCTATTACATATTGATATAAATAGAGTTTTACAATGAAGATTACTTCAGAAATGTATGTTATACAACGTAAGGTAAGTAATTTGGTTACCAATAAATATTAATCAACATGAATTATTTAGGCTTCTTATAATTTCTAACAACTCAAAAAATAATTAATGTAGAAAGAAAATAGAAGGCAACATTTTCTACAACTTCTAATATAATGTTATTTTATTCAGTTTATCAATGAATAAATTTAGAAAGCACTATCAAAAATATATTAAAAATTACTAATTTGTCTTCATTATCTAATTATTAATATATTTTTGTTCTCAAGTTGTGGCAGTATCAACATATAAGAATGACACATATATAAATGTAGATGGTTTAAAATATCTAATAATTTATTTATTTATTTATTTGTTTTATAAATCATTTTTTATGATACTGAAAACTAAAGTTGGTTAAAATTGTATTGTATATTTTAATTCCAAATAATCTTTCAAAAATTTATTATATATTTTTTTAAGCTTGAGTTCTAAGAACTCGACTAAAAACATTCAAATATATCTAATGATCTATGAATTGAAATAAAAAATATGCTTATTTATTTATAATTATAATAAATCTGAAAATATCATCTATTAATGCAATTTTCACTGAATATTTTCTGAATGTTATTAAATGTTAGTTTGAAAATAATTTAAAAAATCTCTTGTATTGATAGAATGAAAGTTATAATAATTGATAAGATATTTTTTTTTTTTTTTATAATAAAAGTAATATCTTTTGATAAGTTTCTATTATACAAAAAATCTGAGTGTCTATAAATATAATAGATATATACTTAAATTAATTGTGTGTATATATATAATAAAAAATTATTGAAAATATTATATATATAAATGTATATATATATATATATATATATATATATATATAAATAGATAATCATAATAACTTTGTTTTTATATATAATTAATTATGCATACTATGTAAGTTCAAAAAAACTAAAAATATATCTTTGCTTTTTTATTTCTATATGTTTATTAATATAATATTATACAACATTTAAAATAATATTACTAATTAAAAAATCAAGTAAATAAAAAAATTCTATGAATAGTATTTTTTTGATGAAGTAATCACATTTTACATATTAAAATTTATTATATATATAAATCTTTGTAAAAAGTTTAAATATTAAAAATAAGAAGAAGAATATGCACTAAGTTATACTTTCTAATTATAATTATAAAAATTATTTAGAAAAGCTAGCTATACAACCAACTACATTCATATTAAAACATGTAGAATGATTTAAACTAATTTCTAAAACTATTTCTGTATAGATCTTTACTACCACTTTGATTTAGTTTATATTAAAAACTATAAAAAAATATAAAAAAAAATTAATAAATATCTTTAATTAAAAAAGTTATTTTATTATTTATTTAGTAAAGTTTTATATTTTTAATTTTTTTAAGTACCAAAAGACTAAAATGACAAGAAGTTAAATGAATATTTTGCAACATACATTAAAGCTATATTTAATTTTTCTTTTATTATTATCTTCTAGATAGATAATTATTTTAGAAATGAAACATGATAAAGTAGAAAAAGAATTATTAATAATTAAAATTAGTTTTTTTAAAAAAATTAATTAACTTTTTTTAAGTTGAAATTTAATATTTAATATTTTTTATTATAATTTTAAACTTTTATTATTGATATTTGTTTCAAAGTTAAAAGTCAATCAAAACATTGGAAGAACTTGCAAGTTTTTTTTTTTTTTTTTTTTTTTTTTTTTTTTTTTTGTTTTATCATTAATTGTTGTATTTAACGATTTTAACTTAAGTTTATAATATCACTGAATAAGTTAATAATATCCAAAGAAGTGATGGAACTATAAGTGAGGAGCATGGTTGTTAAATAAAATAATAAGTTGAAAAATAAGATTATCCACCTATAATAGGAACTTTGTAGTTGTAATCTTAAACAATACCTAATAAAGATTCTATTTTTTCTTTTGAACCCTCTCTTTGTTTTACAATATTTGTTTGTTTAGGACCTAAAAATCACAAAGCCTCTACTTTTTAAATGAAGATTTTGTTAAAAGACATAGAATATTATTGATATAAAAAATTAAATGTGTATGCATAGAAGTTAGAAATGATCATTTGTTGTCTTTTGAAAATATTGCCTATGACATTATTCTTATAGATGTAGTAACAAATGGTAATATTAACTTAGTAAAATTCAAAATTATTATTAAATCAATCTATTTAAGTTAGTCATTTTAGAATTATCTTGATTGAAAAAAATATAACCATTAGTTAGATTGGATTTCTTATAGTCTCAATTTTTTTTTTTTTTTTTTTTTTTTTTTTTCAAATATAACTAGGATTTTTTCTAGTGAAGTAAAAAATCATACGTATGATTGAACCAAATTCTTCTTTGTAGGTACAAGAGATTGCATGCCTGCTACAAAAGAAAGATTACATTTTTTTTTAATCTTACACTACACTTATTTCTTATAATAAAAAGACTTCAAATGGCATTCCAAGCCAATATCAAGATTATGAAGACTTTTTTGAGTAAAAAAATGCAAATAATCTTGTGGAGCATTGTTATTTTAGTTATTTAATTAACTTTTAAGAGAGAGGTCAACCACCATTTTGATCAATCTACAGTTTATCACAAAATAAGTTGGCTAAATTTATGGAATACATTGATGAGAACTTGGCTAAAAATTTCATATGCCATTCAAAATCTCTAATAGAAGCACTTATTTTTTTGTGATGAAAAAAAAATTGATCATTTTAGATATGTATGGATTGTTGAAGGCTCAACAAGATTAATATCAAAGAAGGTCTTATATGCCTTAAATATCAAGACTTTTAGATTAATTAAATCAAGTCAAGATCTATACAAAAAATTATTTCTAAAAAGCATACAACCTAATATGTATTGAAGAAAGAGATGAATAAAAAATACATTTAAAGTTAGTTATAAGCAATTTAAATAAAATCTCATGCCATTTTAACTCAAAAATGGGCTAATTATTCTTTAAAATCTAATAAATAATATTTTTTTGAGAATTTTTAGATAATTTTATTATTTATTATTTAAAATATTTTTTAATTTATTTTGAGAATACATAAGAACATGAATTTTATATTTGTTATATACTTCAAAAACTTGGAGTTATAGAATTATTTTCCAAAATAGAAAAAACATATATTTCATATTATTTAAGTTGAATTTTTAGGATATGTCATTTCAAATGATGGTCTTATTATAATTCAAAGAAAGTTTAGACTATAATGGATTAAAAGATTTTAAGATCAATAAGAAATGTCTAATACTATTTAGAATTTTCTAAATACTATTAGATTTTTTAAGAAGATTTGTTTCAAATTGTAGCTCTACTTATATATTTGATTTGTAAATAGAAAATTGAGTAAAATAAAAGAGCAAAAAAAAAATTTGTAGCTTTAAAGTCAATCTATATTTTTGCATCAAATTATATGTCATTGATTTAAATTTTTTTTTTTTTTATGGAAATAAATGCATTGGACTTTTTTATAAGTGTTGTATTATTACAAATAAGCATAGATGAAAAATTTCATTTAGTAGAACTTCATTTAAGATAACTTTCAAGACTTGAAATCAATTACAAGATCCATAACAAAGAACTTCTTATAATTATGAATTCTTTTAAAAAATAGTATTAATATATAAAAGACACAAATATATAAAAAATTCTTCTAATCTAATAAATAAATATATATATATATATATATATATATATATATATATATTATAAGAATTTAAAGTAGTTTATTTTTGTACATATTTTGAATTATTTCCAAACTTGTTGTAGCATATTTTTGTCCGAATTTGAATTCAAAATCATTTGTTGTTAAGGATATAAATTTTTAAAAATTAAAATATCTATATATTCTTATGTCATTCAAAAAAACTAAAAAATCACTCAAAGATGGTATAATATTAAATTAGAATAGATATTGCTAAAGACAAGAAGACTAAAAAATATTGAAACAAGATTTAAGACTAAATTGATATGGACAAGAGTAAAATAAACTTCACTCTTGCTTCCATATATACTATCTAACTAGAAGCTATATGGTGATGTTCTATAGGACCTCCAATATTTATTTAACTTGCAAGACACATGCCTAACTTATAAAACAAGTTTTTTATATGTATGCCATATAATTAGTTTATATCACAAGTTACTAATATGTGTGATACATGGCTAACTTGTTAGCCAAGTTCTAACCTATCAATTAATTATAAATATGTCTAAGGTCAAATCTATATCTACAAAGCTTCTAAAAAACTTTGTCATAAGATATTATCAAATCTACCTATATTTATTTTCTATATTACACCTCTTATTTGGATTATTATATATATCTATGACATTATCTTTCCTTCTAGGATCGAGTTCTATGAGGAATGATTATCGTACATTGAAGAAGTCTAAGATGCAACAAATTTTGTTTGCCACATATTCTAACCTTTAATTTCTTTGAAGGTGGTTAATAGGTCCTCTCAACCATCAATAGTATTTCATACTAAGGCAAAAACACCACATTATTATTTGATCATTTTGGAGGCCTTGATAACTCCTTTCAAAGAAAATATTTGTAATACCATTAGGAGTTGTTTCTATTTCTAGTAAAATTACCAAATATTATAAGT